AAAAAATCCTTTCATTCGTACATGTTGTAATAGGCAAACATGCAAGAAAATAAAATAACTTCAAAATAGTAGGAAATTGAGCCAAGGTTTCTCTACACCAATTGAGCCCATCAATAACATGCTCAGCTAAAATAGCTAAACGTAGTAAATATTTATACCACAATTCGAATTAAATTTATTTCAGTATCAATCTCATAGGAATAAAATTTTGCTAAATATTTAATTTTACCAATAGTGGCATTAGAAAACGAAGAAGAATCTTTGGGTAATAAAACTTGAAGATTGCTAAAGACTTGTTTTTTATCTAAAAATCGTACTTTTATTTGCGATAAAAAAGTATCTAAGAATGGGATGAAAATGGATATTTTATAATATTCTTCAGTTGAGCCATTATTTATTTTACATCTCAATAATAGCCAGACGAGGTTTAATTAGTTTTTTATCATAAAATTTAGTCTTGAACGTCTAGATAAATATTATGAAAATAATTATCTACATTCATTCTTATTGTATCTACTTGTTCATATATATTTTCCGCTAAATCAATAACCTGAATTAAATCTAAATTTGGTTTTTGTAAATTTCTACAAAGTAGTGAGCTAAAAATAATTTATTGATGCACTAGAAGCAATGATAAACTCTGATTGATCAATTGAATTCAATAATGATATCGCTTCTGACAACACATTACTTTTTTTCATGCTCAGCCTTATGTAACTTTTGTATTTCTATTCCTTCTGATCTAGAAAATGGAAGCAAAAAAAATTTCCCCCCCCTTGGTTACGCGCCTGGATCACGAGGATATTACCAATGATATCAGCGATAATAACACCAACCATCAAGTTAGAAAATTATGACGCGATAACAGAGTATCAAGAGTGAATGTGATCAGAAATTTATTTGCTGACTGACCCCATATCTAATGACCAACGAAACCACAACTTAACAACTTGTTACGAATGATCAACGATGCGATAACTTGCAAGCTTTTAAGAAGAAGTCTAACTGGGCAAGACCTACTACCAAAGAGGCTATTAACTAGCGGTTAAGATAAAGTACGAATGAGAGCTATCGCGGGAATAATGACTACTAGAGCAACCTGGAAAAGAAAGAATAAATTTTACTTAAAAGGAACATTCATTTAAATTTTTGTAAGCATATATTATAACTGTATATATTTATGCGCAAATTGTATTATCCTACTCCAGATTTATTTTTAAATAAAGAGGGGCGTAACGTTGAAATACAATATGTTCGATAAAAGGAGCAATATCGTCTTAATTTTATATTAACTAGAGGATTTTTCTATGTGTTAAAAAGTCATATATTTAACATAATTGATTTTTTTCTGGATTTTAAAAATGTTTTCGAGTATTTTAGGATTCAATAAAAAAATAGCGATAATTATTTGACATTGATTTAGGATCTGTTATTATTTGACTATTATACGATTAAAAGTTATAAGAATAGAACATACTATTTTATGACAATATCTTCATCAAATAACGAAATCTTTAGTTAAGATTTATATTTCATTTTCCATTAATATCCATTATTTATTTGATGATATTTTCATTTCTTCTCGAGTTTCTTTTATCTGTTCTATGAATTTATATATGTTGTGTAAAATTTTACAATTCTTTTTACAGAATTGTGATATCCCTAAGTATCTCTCTTTTTACTGCCAATATCATTAACTATATTGGTAGTACCTAATAAATAATATTTTATATGTATTAAAATTATTATTTAGGGGATTTACTTTTATTTTGCTAATTATTTGATATAGAATTATGGGCAGGGGAAAATTGGCCATAAGACCAAGTGGACATTTTGTCCATGAGGCCGCGAAAAAAGATCAATTTTTGAGGCCGATCAAAAAAAATATAATTATTTATTTTCATCATATAAGCTATGGCTCTTCTCTTATCATATTTATACATATAAATTAATAGTTATCATATTTCCTTTTTTAGTATTTAAAATATCATATTAATATTTTTTTTGAGCATTATCATTTTGATATTGCTATTATATGGGGATAACGCGTGTCCGTTTAAATAAAAGATAAGTTTTGATTGATTTATATTTTTATATATTATTTTATAATTTATAATTTAAATAGAATTCAATTAGCTTTATAAGTGCAATAATATCCATGTATCAATATGTATATTTGAGATAGTACAGTTGATGATGAAACAAACGCTACAGTGGATCAGACCACAATAAAACATTTCTCAATTTTGAAATTGAAAATTTAAATCATGGAAGTTTTCTTGAGAAGATACTCAAAAAATATTATGATACTTAGACACTGTAAAAGACTATTTTCAGGAACAATAGTATAAAAGAAAAGCTGAAATTTTTCTATAAATCAAAATCCAAGGAAAGAAGTTCTATAAATTTTATGTCAAAGACAACCGTTAATAAGTTATTAATGCTGTTCTAGTTAAAATTAGGAATTTAATATCAAAAAAGGGAGATATTTAGCAAACTATTATTCTGTAAAATAAATGACACAAGACAGCAGTTGATCGTTGATCTTGCCAAAAATAATTTATCTGTCTAAAGAAGGAAGTCTCTAAAAAATAGGTAAAAAAAAAGTGGTGGGTACGTGAAAAAATATCTCAGTTAGTAATATTGTTAAGAGGGCTAACTCCTAATCTCTATAAGGCAAAAACCAACCATATCAATAGCTAAATCTTTAATTAAGAATCCATGAAAATTTAAAAAGTTAAATCCGCTTTGATTGTTTGAAATAATCGAGCTGCTCTCATTATATTTTCAAACTAAAAATTTGAAGATTTATCAGCTTAGAAAATGAAAGAATATGTCATGTCGTCCGTATCTTTTATAACTTTCACCTCCATTCAATAAAAATGGACAAATGCAAATGAAAATATTCCCGATCAGGTTAATTAAAATTGTTGATATAATTTATGATAGTGAGGAAGGATTCTATTAAAGATTGATATATCACGTGATAACTAGTAACTCCAACCAAATAATCAATGCTCAATCGTATCTATGAGATTCTTTGATACTATGATATTGATACAGCCAGAGTTGTACATGTTATTTGATATAAGTTAATGGTTACAGTTATATAATATAACGCTAAGTACCATAGTCATTTCAAAAAAAGAAGCCAACGGTTATGTTATCTTTATTTATGTAGTAATTTTATATGTATTCTACTTTATATTTTAATGGTCTTTTATTTATAATGTTATATTATCTGATTATATATTGTTTTGCGGCTATAAATCAAATATTTGAAGTATCGATAATTGTAAAAGTTAATTTATTTTCTTGTTGAAATAATATTTAAATGTTTTTTTATCCAATTAATTTTTACTAAGAAATATATAATACTTATAAATTGTAATAAAGATTATTATTTTACCACTATTTAAATAAATATCTTTAATTCATGTCTAACTTTATTCCTAAAATCCCTACAATTTTTAACATGTAACAGTTACAAATGCCTAAGCCTCGAGATTTAACTAATGGATGTCCCAAACCTTAAAATGAATAAAAATGTTTTGGGTAATATTTTTCTGGGTAAAACATTGAGTTAGTCGTTATTAAAAATCGGCTCAAGCAACATTAGTGAAGATAGTAAAATGCGATAAATAGTTTTAATTATTTATTTGGATATTTATGTATATATATAGAAATAATGGATCGAGATATAGGATTCTTTAAATTTATCTTCGCACTGCAAAATGTGGAAATAAAAAAAACATTTTATTAGTTCTATTTCTAAACGAAACTTTAAATAATCTGTTTTTCTCAATCTATAGTACAAAATTCGTTTTACCAAAATACTATCATTGTCTACCTATAAATAATTATCTTTTCAATGGTTATCATTGTTTTAAAAATAAAAAAACGATATCTTTCTAAATTCCACAATGAAAAGATTTGAAATTGAAGAAATCCTATTCACAGTTCTATTGGATTCCTTTGTTTTATGTTAATCAATATCAGACATTCCTTTAACGTTTAATATTTTTAAAGATATCTTTTTATATTAAAAATAAATAATTTTTCTTTAAAAAAATAGTTAAAATGTTTTTTAAAGTAAGGAAAAACAAGTGGAACTTTACACAAACAAATATAATGGTTATATTATATTTTTAAAATGAGAGATACATTATGTAATGTAGCTATTTGTTACTTTTCGTCCAAATCTGCAAACAACTGCATACATTAATCTATATTGGTAAAGGATTAATAAATTAAAAATATAGGCTCAGGGTTAATATGCGATGCAATAATAGGAGGAATTTGTTGATGCAAATAGAACTTGAATATTTGTTTATTTAGGCCAAAGTTAAGAGTTAATGCGAATTCATTATTTAAAATTTATGAAAACTATATTACAATAGGCATGATGTTATATGTACAATAAGTCTTATACTCGGTGCAATATGATGAATTGTGTGTGGATTTTATAGTACAATAAGTAATAATTTTATACGTGCAATTATTATTATTTTATATGTGTATTATATACTTTATTGCGCAATTGCGGATGAATATGTTTATATGTTCAATTGATTTAATTTTTTATGTACAATTCATAAAATAAATATGGGATTATCATTTTATATGAGTTTTTTTTAATAAAAATTAACTGTGATATTGTGTTTAACCTATCGTTTTAGACATTTTATCCAAAAATATAAATAATAAAATCAGGTTTAATATGAACATGCCATTAAAAGGTAAAAGGACCAAAGATCATCAACGAAGTCTCGATATAAACGAGTCAACTAGGAAATATTTGCCTATGAGGTCGCAGTATCTCGAGTCTGCCGGCTTGAATATTCTAAAAATGATAAAAAATAATACTTAAATTATATATCCTGTAAAAAAAAATATGCCATATTTTCTCTTTTTCTAATGATATAAAAATTATCACTTATTGCCAGCAACTGTCAGACAGGTTACAGTCATATGCCAAAATTAGTAATTAGTAATTCTTTTTTTAATTAAGCAGCTGATTTATAAAAAGATATGGATTTAAACAAATTTTTTAATAGCTGTAAAATTGGAGATTTCGATAAAGTTAAGTAAGGAACCTGCAAGTTTTAATTTATTAACTTAATATATTAGATATTTAGTTGAACATAAAGAGATCGATCTAAATATCAAAGATAGTTTTGACAGCACACCATTGTAAATTTAATAATACTATAACTTGTAATAGATTTTATAGGTATTATGCATGTTTATGTGGACATATAGACATTGTGAAATACTTACTTCAAAATGGTGACATTTCTTATATATAAATATTTTAAAATAATTTTGTATTCAAGGTGCTAAATGTGAGGTTGACACTTTTCAAGGAGAAAGATGTTTATATGGTGCTTTATCTGATAGAATCAGGGATCTGCTTCGTAATTATAAATTTATTACATCTTATAGAATCAAAAGGGATCCATATCAGGAATTTTTGAGAAAGTGAATATTAATACAAAATTTTTTTATACAAATTAATATATTCTTTTAATTATAAATTTATATACTATATAATAAGAATATGGGAAAGTCATGATTTTTATGATGCCATATTATATATAGCTCAGCCACAATATAATTACAAAGAATCATTTACAACTAAGACACCTTCAAATGATAAATGTGAAAATGTTGGAATAAAAATCCACAGAGCCATATTAGCTGCCAGATCTCAATATTTCTATAATTTATTTTCTAAGAATAAACATATTGAAAATAATAATGAAAATATTGATCAAAATCTAAATTTAAGGATGATTAAACCACGATATTACGAATTACCAATCAAAGTTACCTAAAATTAAATTTATAAAGTTGTAATTCTTCCAATTTTAAATATAGATGTATAGTTCCTTTTTACATTATATTCTCCAGTATTTGTACACAGGTTAATTTTATAATATAATAAATTAATAAATTTCAGCATAATTAGATTTGTTTCAGTTCAAATAAAATAATAGTTAGTAATGTATTAAGATTCTTGATTTTAAGATTAATTGCTTTGCTTTATTGTTAAATTTTATTAAAGAATAGGCTAATTATTTTACTTGTTGAGACCCTGGACACTAAAATATGCTCCAATTTCTGGAGGACTAGTTTTTATTTTAGTTTCTTAATTTGTTCAATTAGAAATTTGTTATTAAGAATTAAAACTAGTTTTCCATTGCTGAAATTCAATATACTGTGCCTTTATGGAAGAAAAAAGGGGTTTTCAAGGCCAACATATTTACCCTCTCCCACATCAGGATTTTATCATTTAATTTAATCAATTATTCTCCTACTCCTAATAAAGGAATGTTATAATATTATTTTCAAAGTTGAAGATATAACAATGATAGTTGCTGTTTTAAGGCTGGAAAATCGAACATGCTTTAATATATGGGGGTGGGGGCTCACATTGATAACAAAAAAACAACAAAATGAATATTTTTTAGATTCCTTGTATAATATATTATTTAATGATAAAGGTCAGATAGAATTTAATTACAAGGATATAGATTCATTGATAGAATTATCCAAATATTTGCATCTCAGTCACTTGGAGAAACAACTCACCAAAAAGTTATATCAACACAATTCTCGTTCCAGGAATATCTTAAAGAGTAATCAATTTTTAATATTCATAAATATTTAAATAATAGAAAACATAATACATTAGGCTATAATGGGAAGAATGAAAAGATTGGAAATAGAGGTCATTCTCTCAAAAATAAATATCAGCATTGTGACTTAATTATCACGATTGAGGGCGAAACGGAAATCGAAAAGCTAAAATCGGATCTAGGGACCCTTAATTGCTTTAAACAACATCGGGTTACAATTTTTTTAATACATAACTACTTAAATATGCAATATATTGCGTTCTTTTCTCTACTCCATGCAATTATGGCTGCCAGATTTCATGATTTCGCCATGATTTTCCCATTCTTGTAAATAATTAATAAATCTTCCTAGTCAACATTAAGCCATGAAATTGATTTTAAAATATTACAAATTGAAATACATAAACCAATAGGGAAGAAAGAATATGTAAAAATTTTTTAAATATTTATTTATATTTATTGCTATGCCTGAACTGGCTGTTCTTATATTTATAATAATAATGTAGGTTTTGGTATTGGCCAAAAAGTAATTTATATAGGTACACCAATGATTTGTTAATAATCCAACCAATCACATTCATTGTATCTACTATTTCAAAAAATTGTCATCAGTTACATAATAGATACCAAATATAAATTAGATTCTCTTTGAGGCAATATTCACATTTTTATTTTTATACCAAGATAAAATTATCCAAAAGAAAAATCACACGAATTCTTAGGGAAAAATAGATTGGATTTCCTATCAAAGTAATAATTGTATATTCTCAATTCCGCACTCAAATACATCGTCAGAAAGAATATTCAGTCTAATGACTACTGCCATCGAGAAAAAGAACTGAATTAATTGCTAGCTAAATTTATTGTTAAACAAAATTACAATTATTTACGCAAATTAATCTTTAGCCTGTCTCTACAAACCGGGAAAAAGCAACCTGAAGGTCCGCAAAATATGAGGAAATGGCATTTCTTTTTGGAATTTGTCAAATGCTGGACATTTTTCTAATGTATTAGGATTTAGATACAATTCATGTATATCGTTTAAAATATGTCTGGAGTGGAATATCATCCGGTCCTCTCAATTTTTTCTTTGTTCTGATTTGTTTCCAAAATTTTGGGTCATTTCTATATCAGCCGCTTTGGTACCCCCAAGGGATCTCTCACTTTGTTCAGCAGTTTATCAAACCATTCTATCTGTCGCTCATGAATATGATATAACTTTAAGTAGTCATCTGCTATCTTTTTGCTTAATTGTAACTTGGTCATCCTTGGAAGTAGAGAAGCACAACGGCCCTGTTTAGACTGCTTTAAGAGCCGAACTGAATTACAAAAAGGAGTTCCCGTTTTATAAACTCAACCTGTACCTGATTTATTTTTTTATCGGTTCGGTTTTTTTTTATGAAAAATTAATTCGGTCCATAAATAAGTCTGAAATCGACCGTTGATCTTTTCTATCACGAACTACATTTTAACATTGGAGTAATAGGCCAATGTTATTACTTTTTTCTACTTGGTCGTCACCATGGTTTAAGGAGGGTGAAGTGATATATTTTTATTGCTAAATTCAATTTAACGGTTGGTGTGCGTTTCCCCTATAGACTTTTCGCCTAAGGAGCGCTAATAATTGAACATTTTGCCTATATCTTTTTCCCCTGAGAGCGTCAATGAGTGCTAATAGGCTTCAAAGATTGCTGATAAGTGCCAAAGAGTTCTAATAAGCGCCGAGTGCCAATAATTACCAAAGAGTGCCAATAAGCGCTAATGAGTATTTATAAGTGCATGAGTGCTAATAAGCGCCATTGAATATAAGTCCCAAAGAGTACTAAAAGATATTCTAATATTTATTACCTTATCATTTTTTTTAAAAAAAATGTGTGAATCAGGTATCATTTGTTCAGATAGTACATTTTTCACTACACCACTTCTTTTAAGCAAGTGTAGACATTCCATATTGGGGCAATATGATATTACACCCTTCTAAATAGAATAACTTATGTCACATTGTTTAAAATGGTGAAATAGTTACTTATTGGCACACCTTAGGTGAAAAGTTATAGGACGAAATGTCTATAGGCGAATCGCCAGTATACTCAATTTAACACCTCGAATTGTCTACCATTTAAAACAAAAATTCATATAATTTTTTGTTTTATTTCGATATAATTTTAGAACAGGTCGATAAGCAGCTTTTGTGACGTTAAATTTCGCGCCGGCAATGAAACCTTCGCCTGTCATAAAGTCTAAACAATTTATAAATACACATTTTTAGTTCGTTTCCATTTTTATAATTATTTATGTATAATAAACATTCATGGGTAATCCTAATTTATAGGATCCAATTTAAATGTTTTTTTTTAAAATTCCTTGACATCCTTAGGATTCGAAATTTATAACCGTTAAATAGAAATCATTGAACACGTTTTTTTATAAAGGTGTTTATGGTCAATAGAAGCGAATATTTTAGGGCTCTAATTAAAGATCCATTTTCCGAAATACTTGATTCCTCCGAGGATCTAGATCATGGTTCCACCATTCCCGAGTTCGAATTAAAAGACGTTACACCTTCCGTGTTTAAACACGTGATTAGATACGTTTACGAAGATAGGGCAGAAGTTTTAATTTCATTTTGTCATACGAATAATATCTTCTTTTTTTATTTTAAAAAAAAACCTTTAATTTTTGTCGAAAGACATTTAGAAATATAATTTAACAACAATTTCTAAACCTTTTCTGGTGCGCGCGCAAATATTTATAAATATCAGATAATCTGCACCCTCATGCAACATGTGCTAAAAAAAATTTTGAACCAGAAAACTTTGCGAAAAATATTTTTAAGGGCCAATCACGACAACTTATGCGATATCGGAATTCCTTCATTTTTTTTAAAAAATTTGGGTTCCCTTCATAAAATATTATTTTTACAAGTCGATATGAAAGAAACCTATCAATTATCTTTGCGGGCCGATCTGATCTTTGATAAATATCAGAGACTTGCAGAGGTACCATTTGTACGACCCGGCCCGGATTTTTTTAAAATATTTTTGATTTTTATAGCTAATAATGGCGATTTCAAATATTTGGTTTTAAAATATACGGCCCGGCACCGGCACATGTACCCGGGCTTAAGGCCGGGACTTCAGGTCTCTGATAAATATTAATCATTTAATTTTTAATGTAATAAAAACTCTGTAATTAATATTATAAATCTTAGATTATTATCCAACATTTAATCATGAAGATTATTATTATCAATTTTTTTTTAAAACCATAAATTACCATTATAATATAAAAAATTTTCCCCTCACTTTCATATATTTACAATATATGCATGGATAGGTCTAGTTTAAAATCATTGAACCTAAACTTGGAACCGCAAAAAAAATAGGGTCCTGGGACAGGGCTCTAATATCCATCCATGACAATTATATAGTATATTAAGTATTATTTTATTCGAAATTACATTAAATGACCCTTTTTTTAGATCCAGCCAGACTTGGTATTCGACGTTTTACAAGCTGCCGATAAATTTTTGTTAACCGGGCTCAAAAAATCGTCCTCTTTAATTATCGCCAACAACCTAGATTCCGAAAACGTTTTAAACGTTGTTTTAGCTTCACGAATCTACGTTTTGCCTAACCTGGAAGACGCTTGCGCTCGATATATAGCCCAAAACTTGTTGGAAGTTATATAATAATTATCTTTTGTTATATGGCTGGTTAGAACAATTACATCAGAGGTCTGTATTTGGCGTGTCTTTCACCTACCCGCCTAGGCCCGCTCATACTTTGTGTGGTAGTTGTTTTTTGAAAATATTTTCAACTTTGGGCTGGTGGCGGGCGAGTTAAAAAAATTTTTAAATAATGGGAAGGCGTGGGCGGGAGAATTTTTGATATTTTTCCGGCTAAATTAGCAGGACAAGACTTCAATTTATTAAAAATAATGATTTTATTATATAATATTGCATATTATATATGTTTAATTTAAAAAAAACATTAGAATAAATAAATAAAGAGCCAAACCAACAATTAAAATAATTTTTAAACATTTGGCAAAATTTATAGATAAATGGGCGGGTGGGTAAATTTAAAAAAATAAAAATTATTAGTGAGCGGGAGAGCGAGTTAAATAAATTTCAAAAAAACCCTCCCATTATAGACCTCTAAGTGGCATTAATATCACCTAGACAGATCATTTATTTACTAAAAGTGTATATATATTGTAGTAAGTTGTAGTAAATGTCATTAACTGTAGTAGACCCAGCGTTGGGCAAATTTTCAGAAAAATTTATTCGAACATAAATACAAAAAAATATTTTAAACACAAATACTAAATTTTCAAAAAAAAGGTATTTAAATACGAATTCTTTGACGAAAACATTTTATATAAACTTTTAGTAGCAACACACTATCAATTTTTTTTTAAAAATTTGAATACCTATTTTATTATTAACCATTTTCTAATCGAATATCTGCAGTAATACATAAACATTATAAATAATCTATTTATTGTTGCAGTAATACTATATCACATAAATTATGTAATAATTGCAAATATTAATATCACCGTTTTACAGAGCATATAATCAATTTCTGTATGATGAAATCGCTCCATTTGATTTTGGTTTTATTTATATATGAGCAGATATTACATTTTAGCTATCACTATAATATAGATTGATGATATTTTGGAAAAAAACTTACATCCAAAATTGTCAAATTACAAGAGGATGTTGACATTTTCACAGAATTTTTGCAAAAATATCTTATAAACATAATAGCCTATATCTTCTTCATCTTCAAAAAAAAAACTTGCTTTCGGTAATATTCATTTTAAAAAATATATAATTTAAAATGGAAGATGTTATAACTCGGGTTACAAATTTAATATTAGTTAAATGTGGATTTACACTTTGTTATTAAATTTTAATAAAAAAATAAAATAAAATATTGTATTCGCCTGAAAATCGTGAGATCATAATCAATAAACAATACTTTTTATTATTTCGTATTTAAAATACAAATACTAAATATTTTCTAAAATATTCTTATAAATAGTACTTGAAAGACAATGCCTTTCACATTTCACTAAATGCCTTTCAATGACAGACTTTAATGAATGTATACATTTTAGGTTAGTAATAATATCATTGGGTTAGGATGTTGATATATACATAAAATTTTAAATTATCATTTCAACTTGTAAAATATCATTTTATTCATAAAAGTTTAAGTTTATATTTTTAAATAGAATGTCGATTGTTGTAATTACTAGTTGTAAAAAAAAAATTCTGAATTGTTAAATATAAAAAATATATCCGTTAGTTGCAGGCGCGTAACCAATGGGGGGAAGGAAAGGGGGAAATTTCCCCCCCCCCATCGCAATTATTTTAAGCTAATAAAAATTTTACCCCCACCCCCCCCCCCCCTCCCACCAATCAAAATTTTACAAATATTTGAATATCAATTTTCCAACATATTATTCAAAAATATTAATAAAATGGAAAAATATTTAGTCAAAGAGATTGAAATCAAACGGTAATTTATAAATAAGGCTGAGCATGAAAAAAAGTAATGTGTCGTCAGCAGCGATATCATTATTGAATTCAATTGATCAATTAGAGTTTATCATTGCTGCTAGTTGCATCAATAAATTATTTTTAGCTCACTACTTTGTGGAAATTTACAAAAAATTATAATATATCCATTTTCATCCCATTCTTAGATACTTTTTTATTGCAAATAAAAGTACGGGTTTTAGATAAAAAACAAGTCTTTAGCAATCTTCAAGTTTTATTACCCAAAGATCCTTCTTCATTTTCTAATGGCACTATTGGTATAATTAAATATTTAGAAAAATTATCTTCCTATGAAATTGATACTGAAATAAATTTAATCAGTGAATTCGAATTGTGGTATAAATATTTATACGTTTAGCTATTTTACCTGAGCATGCTATTGATGTACTCAATCGGTGTAAAGAAACCTTAGCTCAATTTCCTAATATTTCGAAGTTGTTTTATATTCTTGCATGTTTGCCTATTACAACATGTACGAATGAAAGGATTTCCAACTTGAGAAGGTTGAAAACATATTTACTAAGTACTGAATCTCGGCTTAATGGGTTAGCTCTGTTAAATATACACAGAGATTTGGTTCCAACGACAAACGAAATAATTAAAAATCTTGTATTTGATAAGAAGTTAAAAAAACTTGTTAATTTAATTATTTTCTAGTCAATATTTTAAACACACTACTATTAGTATTTTCAATAAAAAAATTATATTCTACTTATATTGTATGAGAATTTAAGCTGAGGCTAGTATTTAAAGCAAATTTTATAAAAAAAATGACATTACACTTTATTTCGACTTTACATTTAAAAAAACTTTATTAAATATAATATACCTAACTTGAAATAATAAAAAAGAGGCTTGTAACATCCTATCCATAAGCACGAATTAGTAAATAATAGTTAAAAATAGAAATATAATTATTATTAAATTATCAATAATTTTATAGAATAGCTAAATAAGACCCGGCCGAAGGCCAGGTAAAAGGGGTTTGGGGGCGAAGCCCCCAAAAAAATTTTCCCCCTATAAGAAAATCCTGGATACGCCACTGGTTAGTTGATATATAAATAATATTTTAAACAATAATATTGTCCATTTTAATGTACTTGAGAATTATATATTTATATACAATAGTTGTTTTTTTTTAAAAAAAATATCAAATTTTGAACAAAATTTCCTTCAAGATTATCGATAGACCAGAGTTTAAAGAAATTATTATAAAGGATGCAGCTCAAGTGTTAAACAGGGAAGAAACTGATACGATTTCCATCGTAGACGACGTAAAATATTACTTGACGAATCAAGTGCAAACCTTTGAAGCAATGCAATCATCGCGCAAGAAATTAAGCATACTAGATACTTTACTCGAATCAATAGGGCTAGATGCTTAACTAATCTTCTTCATTTCTCTAAGTCAAATTATCATATTTATTTAATTTTATTTGATCGCAATCACTTGATCTGGTCTTTATAGCCTGAGGGTTCTATTCGAGAATATTTTATTTATGTATATTAATTGAATGTGAAAAAAAATGTGTTTCTTAATAAAAGTTATTCTTATTTCGAAATTGAAACGTAAATTTGAACCTAATTCTCTATTAAAAAATCAAGATTGCAAATTATATAACTCTTAAAAATATTGTAAAAAGTAGATAATATTAGAGGTAGTGTTGTTAAACGGGTTTTGAGCCGATTTTTCAAAACGGCTAACTAACTCAATATTTTAGCCAGAAAAATATTGCTTAAGCCTCGAGATTTTAATAATATATGTCTAAACCTCTGTTCCTTCTATGAACAAAATCTTCAGGCTTGCGTAATATTTTTCTGGTTAAAATATTGAATAAGCCGTTTTTAAAAATCGGCTCAAAACGAGTCGTTTAACAACACTAATTAGAGGTTTATAATTTCTAAATAAATCAACTTTAGGCATATGCAAATTTTTTTTAAAAATTTTTTACATTTTAAATCTTTATTAAATTATTTTTTTTTAATTCTTGGTTGATTAAAGGGCTATATGTCAAAAGAACCGAATAAAAAAATTATCGTAAGGTTTATACTTTTAAAGGCAATAATATGTATTTATCCATTTTGCCTAAAATGATTACTTACGCCTAGAGGATATAAATTTATTTAATTATGTAACTTTAAAAACTCTATAAGGCAATGAATAGAGCCAGATTTATAAAAAATTGAATTCTCTTCATTTTACATTACTCTATAAATATATTTACCTCACGACGTTTACGTTACTTTTTTTTATAGCAGCTCACGCTCAAATTGTCGTTACTATGAAAAAAATGAATAATTACTTTTTTATCCTTTTATTATAAAATATAATTTGAATCCATAAGAAATTTTTTTTAAAAATTTTTTACATTTTAAATCTTAATTAAATTATTTTTTTGGGGTTCTTGGTTGATTAAAGTGCTATATGTCAAAAGAACCGAATAAAAAAAATTATCTTAAGGTTTATACTTTTAAAGGCAATAAAATGTATTTATCCATTTTGCCTAAAATGATTACTTATGCCACCTAGAGGATATAATTAATTATGTAACTTAAAAACTCTATAAGGCAATGAATAGGGTTGGGATAACATTCATATAAAAACTTTACATATAAAAATAATTGCGACATTTATACTAATCAACCATATATTCTATATAAATTCTCAATAATTGATATAAATAAATATGATTATGCTTAATAACTTAAATATATTAAATACAAATTAATTAATAATAATATGCATTTATAATTATTTGAACAACACCTAAAATAAATATTGTGTCCTCTTTTTTTATCTTGCGATATTTATTCATTTTATGGCACAGAATAATTTTTTTATGACTAGAATACTTAAAAGAAATCAAACCTTTAAATATGATATTATGTAAATATAAAATTATAATTATTATATACCCCCTGTTTCTCTTAAATTTATTAGATTTGCAGAAACTGTCATAATTGGAAGTTCTTCCATATTTGAATTATGTTCATCTTAAAATAATATATATGTTGATATTAAAATATATTATTATAAAATATTAAACTTGAATTGAGAATTTATAATATCCCGTTTGAAACTTAAAATTTAAATAAACGTTCAATTTTTTATATCCAATGGGCATAAAGTCGCAATTATCAAAACCAATCATAAAAATGTCACAATTATTTCTCAGTCGCAATTTTTTATATGAAAGGTTTTTATATGAAAGTTAGGGAAACGAATGAATAGAGCCAGTTTTATAAAAAATTGAATTCTCTTCATTTTACGTTACTCTATAAATATATATACCTCAGGACGTTTACGTTACTTTTTTTTATAGCAGCTCACGCTCAAATTTTCGTTACTATGAAAAAAATGAATAATTACTTTTTCTTATCCTTTTATTATAAAATATATATTTGAATTCATAAGAAATTTGAATTTTTAAAAATAAACAATAAAAATTTTTTTCTAATTTTGAATATTATTTATTTATTTAATATACTTTGTTTTATTACTAATTTTTTTACTAAAATAATGTATCTTCTCTAGTCCACCATTTTTTTAATTCTCTCTTTATTATTATTTATTTATTTAATACCTCCAAATAATAATACCCAATTTAATTTTTACAAATAAAATTTAGTAAATAAAAAATAATTTTTTGGAAGAAGGACCTTTTTTTATTCTTACATTTTTTTCTTCCTTCGCTACACTCATTACTAACATATACAAATAGCTTGGGTGTAGTCTCACCCTTTTTTTTTACTTCATATGGGTTACAAGGTTTGTTGGTATCCTTGAGTAAAAATATTGGCATAATTATATGAAGGATGGGCCATATAATTCACGTACACTCACATTTGGACAGGTCTATAACCAACGTGCTATTAAAGATTAAAGATTATCCTTTTATTTCATCAATCGATATATTGATATGTGCTTAAAATTTTATTGCATATTTTAACCTCATGGATTAAAATTATTTTTAATATAAATATAAATTAAAACGCGACAAATAAATTTGATTATTCTTATAATAATTATCTGGATTATTTCTATTATGACAATTTATAACCTTTTTATAATGAGATTTAGACTGAAAATTGTCAATATTATGATATTTTAATGGTTATGTGGTTGAACTAAAGATGATTTATATTCATAATACCCTTTTATTGTGCCTATGAATTCATCATTATTTAATTCAATATTTGATCATTATTCAAGAAATCAAAAATATGAAGAATATAATCAGGTAAGTTATTAAGAAGATCAACTGTTATTTCATTGTTTAATAAATATTCTTCTAGGTTTTCTTTATTATGATTGATTTATATTTATGTTTTAATAATAATTTTTTTTAAAAGTTATATATATAAATATACAAAATAAAATTAGAATAATATAAAATAAACTTGCAAGGTTTTTCTATATGCAAATATGAATATTCAAAATTAGTAATGTAATTTATATTACTATTTATTGGTCAGATATATAATTAAACAACATTTTAATTTAATAATATTTCTAGTATATAACAGAAAAATTCAAATAAATAAATAATTGGACTCAAAAATATGATATAATTATGCACATTAATAATTTCGTTCTTTTATTTATTAATTTTTACCAATAATTATTTCTTAATGTCAGTAATATCACCAGCCTTTACAATTCCGGAGGACTCAACTATAAAAAGTAAAATAAATGATTTAAAGAAATATAATAAAAAAATATAAAGGAACCAATAACGTTAAAAATAGTATCGCAACCATAATTCCTTGCTTATTCAAAAGTATAGCCAGATACAAACTAAAAATGATTATGCTAAAATAACCTGTCAATACAAAGATCAAACATAAAATAAGTAAATTATATTAAAATAGCGGCTGTTGCGATATATTATTTTTATATTTCAAATTACTTTAAAAATTACGCAGTTTACATTGAACCACACTGATACTCTTCAATTTTGGTAAAAATGTACAACTTTCTTTCATTCCTTCTAATTTATCCATATTAGTTGTATTTTTGCTATGGGCCATAGTGAACATAAACTATTTTTTTTTCTATTCATAACTTTTTGATAAAAAAATTTTTATCCTCAAAGATAAACTAATAATTAACCCAATAATTGGCAGAGTTGTTAAACGCTATTTTTAAAAGTAGCGCGCTACCGTTATAGCTATTTGTCAAAATAAGTAGTGCGCTACCGCTTTCGCTATTTTTCAAAAAAAGTAGCAAGCTACTTTTTATAAAAAAATTTTAGAAACAAATGAAACAAATTTTTTTTTAATTTTTTTTTTGCTTATAATGTAAATGTATAATAAATAATATATAAAAATCAACATTTATAAATATAAAAATATAGTTAGTTTAGATTATAAAAAAATAAGCAATATAAATAAATATTTATTTTAATTTGTTGCATTTTAATAATAATATCATTTCAATATTATCATCCACATGTCTAGAGCGACGATCAGAAAGTTTAAGCTTTGCTTTACTAAATAATCTCTCGACACTAGCACTTGAGGGCAAGGAAACTCTAAAAATATTTAATCAGATCAATTTATAAATATAAATAAGTTTTTACCTTCTGTTATGTGTCCAACTATCTGCCGGTGTACATACATAAAATATATCTGATAACTCTACTATTAGAGCATCTTTCATCACTTTGAAGTTGTCGGCTATTTTATTCATAAGTGTCTGGCGACATAAAACTGTTGTGCCAGGGGATAAAGTTTTAATCATCATAGTAATGATGGATTATCAACCAAGGACAATGGCTGAACTGTGATAATAAAATCAACAATTACTTTATCAGCCAATTTTTGTGAAATAATGGCATGTTTATTATCAGTTAATTTGGTTTGGATAGTATTTGTCTTTTTGAATGAAGATTCTCTTATACCAAAATTTTTTATATGTTTCTCTATTTCCTTATAGCAATTGGCGTGAACAGTCTAATAAAATAAATAATATTATAATGTAAAAATAACAATTTACCTTTAGGTGTTTCTTCAGGTTATAGCTACTCGATTGATTTGATGATATATTTTTTTTACATTTTAAGCACAGGAATTTGAATCCAGATTTTGTTTTAATATTTATTTTAAAAAATTTTTCAAATCTAGGTAATGGGAAATCGTTATTAGAGCTATTAAGTACATTTTCTTCCATTGAATCTTCCATGTCTGAATCACTTTCAAGGATTTGGATATCCATGGGCGATGCCATTTTAGATTATTAACACAGATTGAAAATATAAATTAAAAATTGAAAATATATTTAAATTTCAAAATTAAATAATAAATTATAAAAATTATAATTAATTATGATAATATATTTAAATTTTCATGTTTATACTTACATTCATTATATTTTTTAAAAATAGCGAAGTAGCGCGCTAAAAAATTAAATAATTTAAAAAAAAGTAGCGGCTATTAGCTATAGCTACCAAAAAAGATAGCGCGCTACTTTAACAACTCTGATAATTGGTAAGGTAAGAAAAAAATAATGTGAGTGATTGGGCGGAACAAATTTCATCCCCAATATAATATCTATTATATCTCACTTAAATTTCTATATTTATTTCACATTTTCAAATATATAAATTTTCATGATTTATATATTTATTTTATATTTTTTTTTTAAAAGATGTCAAAATAAAATAGCGAAATTGCGAATAACAATTTTATAGAAGATTTTTATTACAAAAATCAATAATATTTATTTAATCTTGGGATATTAGATCACCCCAACCTAAAAACTATTCATTAAAAATATGTGAAACTTGTCAGAAATTACTGGTATTAAAATGAAGATTCTTAACAAATGAATTTAAATCTAACCAGCTTGGACATATTTTAATTGGAACTTTTAGTTATAGTGAAAGATTTATCGATACTGATTTAACGTTATTCATGCCTCTGACCTGAGATATTAGATATTTTTTTATCCTATTCGCACATCACTTCAAAACATTTAAATTAAATTAATATGAATAAAAAATAATTATCTAGGTATATATCTTAAAATATTTTATATCCCTTATAACTTTTCAGTGATTTAATATTGTTCTATATCCGTTACATTTGGTCCATTTGGCTACATGTAAGGTTATATATTTCCAATTGAAATGGAACAAAAAATGGAGTTTACTTATATTGGTTTAACAAGAATATAAATATATTACATATTTCATTACAAATTTTTAATCGCCTTTATAAAAATGATCTAGTAGAAGAAGATGTCATAAATTAAAGCAAAGCTCTTTTTTTTCTAATTTTTATTACAAGATTTTCCGTTGGTTTTGAGCAGAAACTTAGATTATGAAAACAGAAAATTTTTAAACATTTTTTAAATTTTGTGCCATTTCAATTTGAAAATCATAAAGTAAAATAATAATCACTAAAAAAATAAATTAAGGGAATTTATTTATTAATAAACTAAATTGCCATACCTCCTTACCTTTTTTTTTGATTATTTGTTTTGATAAAATTCTATAAACTAATATGGCATTTTGCAAACACACTAACCGTAATATCGATCTATTTTTAATTTTATTCGAAATATACTTGCTATAAATTCTACATTATTTAAAAAAAAAAATTAAGCTTTAAATAGAAACATTGTTTTTCAGAGGATTATTTGGTAATCTCGTTTTAAAAAACATGTGAAATAAGGTAGCATGGTTGAGGATGCTGTAGGAACATATTCTCAGGCTAATTATGATGAATATGAATTTTATAACGGTATTTATATGCTAGATTAATATAGCTTTATTTATTTAGGTGATGAGACGCTTTTTAATATAACCAAGAACTGCCTCAGATCTTCTTATTATCAAATATATGATAAAATCCTAATTTATTTAACCGTTTGTATTATAACTGGTATTGTTAAATCATTAGGTTGAACTATATCTATATTTATATAATGTTAGAATTTATTATAGACATTAATTTTTATATTAAAAAATCAGTGATTATATTCTTAGGAATCTATATTCTACATTATTATTTTGCTTTGGATTGTGTATACCTACTTGTATTTATCTTTTCCATATTCTCCATATCGTTAATTAATCATGGAAATAAGTGGAATGATATCCTGTTCATGTGTGAAGCTGCAATTCTTTTATGTTCATTTGGGTATTTTTTCTATATATTAATTTCCATTTATTGATTAATATTAAGGCAATTTATTGTGCTTAGTACAGATACATGGGATAAAATAAGAGGTAATTTAGAATATTATAATTTAACTTATAATTTATAAGGGTCATTGATGATCATAATTATGAAAATTATATCTATTTCTTTTGATCAAAGTATGACAAAAAATATCCAAAAAGTTAATATTTATGAAAAATATCAATTAAACAAAAGTTGGAGTTGGCAAAAACAATTAGAATTATTAGAATATCTTTTTGATCCTGGAACAATAATATTTGGACCATGGATTTCATTCAAACATTTTGAAAATTCTTCGCACAGCAATTTGAATTATAAAGTATTTTATAAAAAAAATTATATTAATTAACAGAAAATAGTTTTATTAAATGACTTGATTTTTAAAAACAGCTAATTAAAAATTTTAGCAAAAAAATAAAGATTTGAAATATTGCTCATAGATGGCAGAGAGGTTTGGAAATCTATTAACAAAATCTTGAGGCTTAATAATATTTTGGCTAAAATATAAATGCTAAATTGACCAGTTTAATGACACTAATTTATAACTATGGAAATCTATTCTGCTTTATATATAAGAATACCACAAACTGGCAAAAATTATTATCATTTTTTTAAATTGATTTATAAAATAAAAAGAAAGAAAAAGAGAAAGAGAGAGAGAGAGAATATAAAATCATTTTTATAATAATAAAATTTATTTGCATAGTAAAATGAGGTATTACTAAATTTTTATTTGAAATCAAAATTAATATTGATTTAAAATACAAGCAAAAAGGAATCATAGATTTAAATTAATTTGATTAAATCTTAAACACCCCCCCCTCCCTTAAAGCCATCTACCCCCCCCCCTCACATAATTTAATACCACTGAGACACCAGGCAAATGTTAAACAAGATTGAGCATCTATTTTTGCATAAAAACGTTATCACTATCATACAATATAAGACCATTATTGATAATATATTTTTTTTATTCTATTAAATGTAATTGAGAAAATGATTTAACTATGGACTAATTTTAGAATTGATTTGATCATAAAAAATAATATATCCTTATTTATTTCACATAAAAAAGATTTCACTAATATAGCAAACACGTTATCTTCAAGCATTGCGTTATTACAACTGATTCAGTTTAAAAAACTAATTCAAGATAAAGCTAAAATAGAGATAATCGTATTCACTATTATTTTTATAATAATATCGCACATTTTTTTATCAATGTAGCAACATTTTATAAATTTTATTATAGCTCCATATTTATACATTTATACCTATTTATTGGCTTTATTTAATAACGCTGCCTTAAATATTGCAATGCCGAAGATAACGCGTTTGCTATAAATGAGACCCTAAGATAAATGAGGAATTTATATATATATCGATGACTAAATTATTAAATAAAAATATATTGAATTTGTACAAATGTGTTCTATAAGGTATATTATATAAGTTATAACTGTGTGCCGACGGAACTATGGGTGCCGCTCCGTATTTTTAGTCGCCATCAACATGGGTGGTTATAAAAAAAATATATAATTGCTTTTTTAAAATCAAATTAAAAATAAAATATATGCAGAAATACCGGCATTTATAGAGCTTTAGTGAAGAAAAAATTAATTATAAATTCAAACTCAATTTTGTAATTTTATAGTTATTCATGTATAATGATAAATTTATAATTTGTCCGACAGAAGAATGATCTCCTTGAATGAATTTAAACCTGGAATAGAAAAGGCCTATTTAATGCGCTGCTAGCTGCCGGAGCACATAATTTTTTTTTTACTATTTTAGAAAAATTCAGAAGTTCTATCATCTTTTCTCTCCAAAAATTTAGAACATGCTTATCTTGTAAATGGCGTTTTTTATGAAGAATACAGCATTATTGTCTAAGTCATTAAAAGTTGAATATTAATTTATGCTTATGTAGAATGTTTATTTGCTAACCTTATCAAATAATTTGGTATAGATATATCCTATTGGTTTTCGATCTCTAAATTTATACTAATCTAATATTGTTATACTCTATATGTATAAGATGTTTAATAATAAATTCCAACGATGTGCTATTTTGCTTGATTAGATATTTTGTCACAATTTTTAATTTTTGAAATTTTAGGCTTAGAAGGGAAGCCATCACCTAGATAATTTTTGAAATAAAAAGCAAAATTAATTAATTAAAATACTATTACTTACAGATCGCAAACAAAAAATTTTAAGGCAAGTTTTTTTTAAATATAATTCTTAGAAGTGAAATAATTATCGAGATATCATTTAAAAATGCCTTTCTATTTCACATCTGAAAAGTAATGGAAAGTTCAATGTAAGTCGTTTATATGAAGATAAAAATTGGCCACAAATTATTCAGTAAAATAAATCAAAATAGGCAGTAGAAAAAATATTTGGTAGGTATTTTTTTTTGGACAGTTAATATTTAATTTTCAAGTTTTTTTTTATTGATTTGGGCTTTATTTAAAATAAATAGATAGTTTTAAAATAATTTGGCAGGTATTTTAAATTTTTGGTCAGTTAATAAATAATTTTACAGTTTTTATATTTACGTGGGTAGTTCTTATTTTTCTAAGCTAAAACTTTTAAAAATGGATTTAATGAAACCAATTGATGTGTTCAGAAAGAACCTGGTAATAGTAAGGATGGAAATATGAAAAATCAAAGATATTGCTGGTTTAAGGAAAAGATCATCAAAAATTATGATTATTATACTCAACTTACCGAAACTAAAATTCTCAAAATGCCTAGTGATGTACAATTAGAGATATTTATTTAAAATGGGCCTAACCTAAATTATGGAAAATTTACAAAAAAAAATAATAATATTACCTTCAATAAATCAAATAAGTATTTTTTTGATGAGATTAAAAACAAAAAAATATAGACCATCAAATATATAAGGGGAATTGGAAAAATGGCTTATTGAAAAATTATTAATATCAATAAATGCTAAATTTCGATTTTCTATATCTATAAAAATATTCCTCAACCTAGACAGTCTAATTACACATGGATGCCACTTATTGCATAAGGTGGAATGGGTTCATTTCCATTATTTAATTGGAGTGTGTTGTAATGAAAATTAAAGATTATGAATTTGTTTATAAATTTCTACTTAATGGTGTAAAACAGATATCTCGACATTGTGTTAAAATGGAAGTATTAATATCAGATGCTGCAAGAGCCATTCACTATGACTTTAATTTGGTTTTTGGTAACAAATCAATTCTTAGGATCTAATTTTTGTTATTTTATATATTTGATATGTTAATTTTCATAAAATATTCTTGATAACTTATAAAAAAAAAGGTGATACTTTCATATTACTTAAAAGGATCTTGTTGTACAATAACATGTATTTAATTAAATATTTTGTTATAAAAATTATTAACAGGAATTGCATAATAAGCCCATAAGATTAATTTCTTGATAAAAAAAATACTGTCCATTTTGATTAATTTACTGCCCAAAAAAATCATAGCCATAAAAATTCAACTATTTCTTTATATTTCGAAAGTAAAAGTAACTCATAGTTTGAAATTTTGAGATCTTTCCAATTTATTTCAAAACATTATTAATTATATTTTTTATTAGCCCCATTTATGCTTTTGAGCATAAATAATATACTATGCTATCTGGTCGGGGGACATTTAATTTTAAGAATGACATTTTATTATCATCATTGGAATCCACAATTTGAAAACGGGTAACTGGATATGGATCAATTACTATCAAGATCCTGAATATTTAATGTATATCTTTTGTATTTAGTAATTTTCTCTGATGACATTACAATGTTTAAAAATAAATTACGAAAATTATTTTATTTTTTTTAATTTATGCGCCGGCGTGATTTTCATAAAACTACGGCGTTTTCGGCTGGCTAAAGGTCTATATGAGACTAATAAATTAATTATTTAAAAATAAGATAGAGGGGAAATGCTATTTTGTCCTTGAATTGTCTGCCTCTCAAAAAAAATTATTTTTCTAATATAGAATATAAAAAAATATATATAAAATTTATACACCTTAGCTCTAGCTAGACTTGCTCTATATTATCAGTTTGCGGGATTTTTAAAGATAAAAACTGTTTTAAGAATAACGCGACGAGCATTATCGCATTTTATATCGTTTGTATGAAATTTTTTGAGTTACAAATTTATCAATCTATTCAATATTAAACATATTTGAGTCAAAATTTAAAATAAAAAAAAATTGTTTGCAAATTTCTGTATATTTATAAATTTATCCATTGAGTCTATTTTATTTAGAAATTAATTCATTCATTATCCCTCCAGATATTGTACTTCGTTCAATTTCATCACCGAATTGAAGCGTGTATCAATTCATTTTCACTAATATATCCCATGACATGATGTCTACCCATTTTATTAGTATGTACGGTTCCACCCTGTAGTCAGCTAGAATAGTAAAAGAAGATAAGTAAAGTGGCGAGGTGATACATAGTTCCTTTGCCTGTAGAATATTAGTAAATGTTGAAATATTGTGTAATGATATAATGTAACAATAATAATACCTGATTCTTATGTTTTAATAAATTTTTTCAGTCTTTAAATGTTGGTAGTGTGCCCATGTTATTATGCAAAATAGTTCCATTTGATTAGATTTTTAAAAATGGCTAACTCATTATTATATTCAGAAAAATATTACGCAAACATGAAAATTTTGCTCATAGGCGACACAAAGATCTATTTCTAGAGGTTGCAATATTTTTCTGGCTAAAATATTGACTTAGCCGATTATAAAAATTGGCTCAAATTAAGTGATTTTGCATTACTAGTCCATATCGAGCGTCGGAGAAACTATTATATGTCAATATCGTTTTTACCTACAGGAACTCCAAGCAATTGATGTTATGTTAATGATCATAGATTGGGCTTTTAAAAAATTGAAACACTTTTGGAAAAAAACGAATTTTTTCTTCATGATTTATTCATTAAGCTTAAAAATAAATAAGCTCTAGTGGCATTTATATAAAATTTTAGATATAAAAATTATATAGTTTTCGGCTTGGTTGACTGATATTTCGCTTTAATAAAATGTCGGATCGGGACTAGTAATGCAAAATCCCCCCTACTTGAGTCGAATTTTAAAAAGCTAACTTGGTATTTTTTGCAGAAAAGTATTACGCAAGTCTGAAGATTTTGCTCATAGATAGCACAAAGATTTAGACATCCATTAGCGAAACTCGTGGCTTAGGCGATATTTTTCTGGTTAAGATATTGAGTTTGCCTTTTTTAAAAATCTCAAACGGAGCTATTTAGCATCACAGACGATATTTTCAAG